AAAGAGTGTCGAGGCCTGGTACTGAAATGATCTTCAGTGATATTAAGCTTAAAGGATCCACATACATGCTAGTCAACCCCTTTTATATGTATTTGAAGCTATTTAAGGTCTGTTTTTTCTGAGGAAATACACATATTCAAGACAAAATCTTTATTCCTTAAGATTCTCTGCCATTGCTATGTGTCTTTTTCAAGATTTCTATTAAAAATGTCAGTTGTTACAGATACTCACATTAAAATGTTAATAGAACTAATGAAATCTGCTCCAGAAATTATTATTAGAGAGCTGATAATTTAGCATGATTTATCTGAGGTAGTAGATGACCTTGGTACATGTCTGTATATGAAAACAGAAAAATCCTCATGTGTTATATTCTGTAGCTTCTAGATGTTAAGTAGTGTTTGATCCTACAAATCCCTTGCATATGCACCTGACTTAAAGGCCACTTACTCCTCCTATCTGGTGGGATTGAGTCCTCAAGGCATGTTTGGTTATTTGTTGTTTAATAAGAAGTATAAGTATGTAAGTCTTCATAAGAAGCAGCAGCGATAGGGACTTTACGTACTGATATTTCACTACAAGATAAATAAGCATATAAAAACTAAGGAAATAATTTTTAAAAAAAGAAGTTTTCTTCCCTGAATAAATCTACAAGTAGCAACAACAAAAAATATTTTGGTTTAACAGAAGGTAAACTGTCACATTAGAGAGAGTAATTTTCAATTGTAAGGGAATGTAACATTACAACCAGGGAAGCTGGTTTCATTTTCTCCTTCAAAGCCAAACTCAAATGGAGCAGCCTACCAAAAAGGCCCTGTGAGAAGACAACAAACGTTACTCCTAAGAGTGGTTTGTTCTGGGTGATGTTATGTGTGTGGTACAGCAAATTGCTAATCAGAAAGTTACGGGAATAAAATGCAGTTATTAGACCGATTGATTTAAGTTTCTAAGAGGGTATTTTAAAGAAACAGTTTATTCACAGAAGAGTAATTGCTTCGCTGCGCTGCGTTCGCATAGCTGGGAGGAAGAAGCAGGGAGGAGCCAAAAAGAGACAGCTACACCTTTTTGCTTGTCCTATAGTTCATACTGCAGTTAACGTGAACTTTGCATCTCAGATCACTTCCAGCTTGTAACACAAGCAAGACTGAAACTAAAGGCTATGAGGAGTAAATATCAGTCAAGCGACCCATCCATGATGTTTACAGTATCGCACTGAGAAAATTCCAAACTCTTGGGGTTTCCACTGAAAACCCTTGGAAGTTACAATTCTCAATTCATCCACCTTCCTCTGGAAGAAACCACACTGAAAGTTACTACTGTATGTTCACTGTGCCTTCCTTGGACACTGTGCAGAACTCTCCTAACTGAGCAACAGACATGCAGTGTTTTAATGATTTATTTTCATGGCCAAAACACAACTTCTTAGCACTTGCAAGTATGGGAGTCTGGCTACTGAAGGTGTCAGAAGGAAAGACATTCACTTGTAACTAGGACTCTATTCTTACCATGATGGAGACCGTTCTTCTGATACATGTTACTTGGTAACGTATCTCGATTCCACTCGGACGGCCTCAGCATTCTTTCTTGTTGCGATGGCGTTAGCTGCTCACTGTACTCCCAGAAGTATCTTCGCTTGCCTCTTTTCCGAGAGGATATTGCAGTCATTTCTTTTAAATCCTCCACAGAATCGTTTTCATACCCTAAAAGGACGCATTGCATTGTTTACATCATGTTTACAAAACTGTTTCTAGCCCTTTAACAGTGGACTGAGTGTTCAAGTTCAGAGCAAAACCACAGACAAGGCCTGTTTTACATTATCTAATAGACTTGGTTTTCAGCGTCAACTACTGCTGGGTACTCGCCTTAAACCCAGGCCTAGACATTGAGCTAGTGGTGGTGCTTCATCAGCTGAATAGAGACAAATTATTTATGCATGGAAGGCTCCTTTCTGTCCTCTGACCCCTTAAGCTCTACTGCTCTTCTCCCCCTCAATCCCGCCACTGCAGAGTACAGACAACAGCTGTTGGAGAGCATTCTTCCACCCTTACAATTTTCTCCATGAATTTGCAGGAACATAATCCTAACTTGCCTCCACATTTTTATTTATCTCGAATCAAAAAGCATGAAAAGAGAAGCAGATAATAAAGATGGATTGGCAAAGGAGTAATAAAGAAAGCAAAATTATCCACTCGTAGAATATTCTGAGTTGGGAGGGACCCATTAGGATCATCGAGTCCAACTCCTGCTCTTCCTTGAGTTTGAATGCCTTTGGGAAATAAATCAAACGACCCATCTCTCTTAGACTAAAAGAAGTTATCAGGACGATGACCTAAAGTCCATAAGAACAGACTGTCTAAACTGAAAGGATCTGAACACAACCTCTTTAGTGGGATGGAGAGAAATCATCCACAATAAAGCTACACAGTATTTTAGAGGTATATTATGATGCCCTGATATGATGAACTGTTTGTGAAGTACATGGAAACTGTAATGCCACTATCCACATTGCATAAATATTTATACCATAATTATGTAAACACAAACCACAGGTTTTGAAATCCTACGTATGCTTTAGAAAATAAAGACAACTTATACTCAGGTCAAAAAACCCCAAACCGCTGCCTCGCCTTTTGTACTAAAATACTATATAATAGTTTACATTTACTTTATTTATTAAAAGAATGCATTTCAAAACATTACATACACTGATAAGGCTTAAAGAAAAGCCAGCCACCAAACAGACTGTAAGCTTAACAAGCTTTGACCCAGTATGCTTGAGCTCTGCTTCATCTTTTAACAGCAGTACAAAGAACACTTTCTTCTTTTTAAAACAGTTCATTCAATTAGTCTGTTTGCACTTGAAAAACCAGTTGAAAGAGGAAAAACAAACCTTCTCCCTTTGGTCTGACTCTCACCTTATAACCCGAAGTACGAATAAAAGTGAAGTGTGCAGAAGGATGAAATCAGTTCTAAAGTTCTGTTTCTAATAATTTCATCAGCTCATTTACTTTGATTCTCTAGTTTATTAAAAATACAGTATTTTAAATGCAAATCAAACAATGAAACATGCTTTATAAAACACTTGTTCTTGTATAGCCAAAATGATGACAATTTATATTAAATATATCTTCAAATACCATAAGGATTTTTAACTGTACTTCCATTTTACCCAAATGCTGTTTGACATAAATATCAAAATACTCTCAAAAACCCCACTTACTTTCCACTTGAAAAAACACATCAAGCTACGTAACTCATTATATGGATACGGATAACTTTAGCCAGTCTTCCTGACAACACAAAATTAAGCCGAGCGATGAAAACAAACCTCTTTAAGAGCTGATATGTACAAATGTAAAACAAGGTTAGAATCAAGACTTCCTGTTTGCTTGTTTAAACCATAATTAAGTTAGCAACTTAAATTAGGTTGACTTATAATGCATCCTGCCTTGCAACACTGACCTGCTATCGTTTTCAAGTTACATGGAATAATCTAGTGCACAATGTCCTAGCCTAGTCCGCAGCAGACAGGAGTGCAACAAATCTGTTCAGCTTTTCTGCACCGTATTCACCTTCCTTGAATTCTCCTCTGCGCAAGGATCATACAGCAGTCTCACCTTCTTTGGCAGGCTTCTAAGAAAACTGAAAGGGTTCTCCTATTTACCTTTCAAGCCCTTTTCAAGTTTCTCCTTAAAATCTTTGTTCACATCCCTTACTATCGCTTTAGGTTTAAATTCACCAGGGTTAAATTAAGTAAACCAGAGAAAAGGACGGACATGAGTTCTGCATTTTACCAGATTAAAAGCAAAAATAGCCCCAACAAAACAAAACCAGAAAAACCCTTCTCTTCATCATTTAATTATACTGACTTCTGCCAAACAACTTATGAGTCTCTTTATCACAGCCGATGGTCCAGGTGCTCAGAACAGATGCAATGCAACTTCTTTAAATAATCTCCATGACTCTACAAGCACTTTTTCCTTTCAGCTACTTCTCCAGTGCTACTGAAAACTGAATCGGTTGTTGCATCTCCTGTTTCTGGAATCTCTTGATTACTTGATGGGAGAAGCAGTCATTTACAAATATTCTATTAAATAAGTAAAATTTACCAGTAATGGCAAAAACAGTTTAAGTGCCAGAAAAGCCTGAGCTGATAGTTCCCATAATAAATTACTTTTGCAGGTGACCAAAATTGCTAAATCTGTATGGTGGTGATAATAAAAACATTGTTGCCCAAACTTGCTCAACAGCCAGTCATATTTTTAGTTATTTCTCCAACTTCATGAAGGTCACTATGTCTAAGTATTTCCTCAAACAACACTAACACTTTAAGAAAGCATTTAATGCACCCCAAAATCATACGTGAAGAACAAACAAAAGCAAACTGTGTATAAAATACATCAGAGGGTCAGCAATAACTAGTAAGTTTTTGTCCTTTCAGTAAATTGCACCTTCGCTCTAAATTCATCAACTGATTTTGGAAGATAAAATCTTCCTGTGCCATGCCTATTTTTAGAAACTTTATCCATAGTATCTACCTTTACTCTAAAGGTAAACAAGCAACGCCAAGTACAAGAGCGACAAAATCAAAACACCTGGAGATGTTACCTTCCAATATAATCAAACCACACGGTGACGTTTTTAATATCACCATGCTCAGACTGAATGGCCTCATTCCCTTCAAGTTCTAGCAAGCTTGCATGAGCCCAACTCCTCAGCTACTGTACTGCAGGGTGGAGCTGTATTTGGAAGGCGAGAGCCACTGCTACTCAGTAAAATCTGAACAAACGGCAAATCGTTAATGTAATTCCACCACCCGAAATCCCAGCGTTTTAACACAACATCTCTTCTTCAAGGTTTCCAGGCCTTCTGTGCGACACGCCTCTGTGGGCTGCAAAGCGCTGTGCAGTACAGCAAGCATTACAGAGCTGCAACAGCGACCCAAAGCCCCGGAAAGTAGAGCGAGTTCAATGCAGAAGAAGGGAGGAAGAGGTTTTAAAACGCTAATAAAAATGCGTTATGCACATGTAGAAGTAACATAAAGGGCATAATGCTTAACAAGTTTAAAGGCTACGCAGGAAATCTACTTAGAAAATAATTTAACCCGAGAGTTCATTTCGACAAACACTGACAAGCTTTAGGGAAGCTGCTATTTTTAAAAAGGCAAAATTTCATTGGCTTTCCCCCCTGAAGTTATGTTTTACCAAATATCTGAATACCTTAATTCTTATACTCTACCACAAAGCATTTATGAAATGTGAATATTACAATAGCTTCTACAATGAAACTAATACTTGGTTACAGTCCTGTCCCTTTCCCTTCAGATTTTATTTTTACACAACGTTACCGCTTTGTTACCTTCTAGGTGAAGGTTAGTTCTTATTTCTGTTGTTAAGGCTCCGTTTCTACATGCAGAAGAGAGGAATTCAGTATCCTTTGAAGACCCACTAAGTGTTACTGCTGAAAACCACCAAGAAACGGTTATATTAGTTTCAGTGGTAGGTATTCTTTGGATTCTGTGGAGAACCGTACCTACAGTAGGACTTAAGTAATTATGAAATTATTTCTCTCAGGCTATGATTTCATACCAGCTATCACGAGATACAACTCTGGAAAAATTAAAAGCAGCAACCTACTGAAGCACTAGAAAGCTCCGCACATCCTACCATCAAGCCACGAGAAAAGAAGAAAACAATTGCAGGTAGTTGCACTGTGACCTTATGCTACAAGCGAGGTTTCCTGTATTCTCTCTTATTGTTTTTGTTTTGTGACAGTTTATGCAGTTCCTATCGGAACAGGGCAACAGAGACCTTGTATAGTTTTCATTAATTACATTTTGCAAAGCACTTAGAAACCATGGACTGAAAGTTCGTAATTTAAGATCAGTGTTGCTCATCTGTAACTATAAAGCATTCTTTCCCACTTGGCAAGCAAATCCATTAACCTCCATGTTAACAAAGCCCAACATTCCTGGTACCTGGTTCTGAGAACGTATCACTGATGTCGTCATCTTTATCATCCTCATAATCTTCTTCCTCATCATCGTTTTCAGACAGCTCGTGCTCACTGCCGAATCCTTCATCGTGGTCCTCATCTTCAATATCATCCTCATCATCCTCATCTTCCTCAGGGTCTCCTTTGGCTGACTGTTCACCCAAACTGTCTGCCACGAAAAGAGAATAGTTGTGCTCTTCTTTCTTCTGTGAAGAATCCGACACCGATGTGCTGGCAGAAAGACTGCTCTCCCCCACAACAAGCCCTGGGGTTTCCTGGGGTGGACTGAGGAGCAGTTCTTGAGTCTCTTTAAAAGGCAAAACAGGAGGTGTGCTCTGACTATGTGGGGACTCCATTCCTTTTCTTTCTTGTCTCTTTGCTACAGCACCACAATAGCAGGTGTTTTCCTTTGCTGCATCAGCATGTGTCTGGCTCAGCACTGGTCTGCTCTGTGGTAAAGGATTGATCTTTACTTTTGCCTTTTTAACATAGTCTTTACATTCAACATGAATGTTCACCTTTTCATTATTGTACACATTGGTCTTCACCATGATTTGTGTACTGGAAGCAGGCTGAGTTGCAGGTTTACTTGCCTTCTGAACATAGTCCGACAAAGGTGCCTCAGCCTGAACGTTCTTGGAGGAACAGACTGGGGCTGCTGCTCTGGTTGCAATTTTTTTGCCAGGTAACAAAGAATTTAAAGGGTTTTGTTTTACACTAAAAAGCAAATCAGGGTAATAGAGTGAATCCGAAACAGGTTGGGAGTCTTCACTGTTAAGCTGAGCCAGTGTCGGTGTTTTGCTTATCACCTCTTCGTCTTGGTATGGGCTTGAAAAGTCATCAAGACCCAGGTAATCCACCTCTTTTGTTCCCCAGATGTCACAGCTGGTTAATTTAGTGTACTTAGTTAAGTCTTCACAGTAGGTGTCCCACTGCTCCCACTTTGACGTGAGAGCAGCTTCTTTGTCCAGGATGTCCGTAAAAGACTCCAGGTTCTCAAGGTCTTTGCAGTCCTCCATTGAAAGTAAGTTGTCTCTGGAGCTTTGCTGATAGTCCATTTCTCTGTCCTGTGCATAATAAGACAAGTCAAGAATTAAAACCAAAAAGCATCAAACATCTCTGTCCTCTACCTAATCTAGTATGGTGAGCTTAGTTCCAGTGAAGTGTAGGAGAGTGATAACACATGAAGATACCTCAACTTCCAACTAAAAGCTTCTTTTGAGGGTCAGAATGAAGTCCAGCTTCTGTACTTCAGCAGCAGATCCTTCATAAGAGTTTGCTAAAAATACAAGTCAAATGCCACTGGATTCTTCTTCTGCTACTGCAAATTCATCTGGTCATCAGGAACTAGACTAGCACCAATATCTATGTATTTAAAATATGAAAAGACATCACAGGCAAGCTGTTCTAGTCTCTATTAACCTCGGTCAATCTTTGCTGCGTGCTTAACAGAATATGCTCAAGTTTACCAGTCCCTGGAAAACCTCATTCTAACATGACCAATTAATGACTATGAGCTACCTTTCTCCTTTCATGCAGGGCAAAAAAATCCAAACACATAAAAAATACTAGTATACATAGCTCTTGAGTCAACTTTTTTTTTGCTTCCCTGCATTCACAGCTTGGGTGAAGTTGCATATAGCTGCTCTTGCAGAAAAGATCGTAAGGAAGAGTCTCAAGCACCATTACATAACGTCAGCACAGCTCTATTTGAGACTTGTGTATCAAGCCACTCGTGATGGCCAGCTTTAACAAGCACCTATTGAGGAAGCATCACATTTGCTGGACAAGCAGGTAGGCTCTTCCCTAATCAGTAGGTAGCAGTAATGAATAATCTTCTAGCATTCTTGTTCAAGAACCCTTTTCTTACTACACGAACTCAGGGTATTAGTCAAGGAGAGGAAGTTATGTACACACACAGAAAGACGACCTACCAGTTCATACATGAAGTCTGGATCTGAACTGCTTGCCAAGAGATCCGTGCTCATAAGAGTCTGCTCTGAGAACACATGGCTCCGAAAGGCGTCCCCAAAAGGAGGGTCCATTCCACTCACACTAGGCTACAACAAAATTGATACTGACATTTGAAGCATGCTATAAAAAGGTGTATTCTTTTCTTCAACGAAACATAAAGAGTATTGCCATTTCATCCAAGTCTCTGAACTTGTGCTATACTTGCATCTGGAAGGTTTTCACCTACAGATAAGCATGTACATTTCTGAGAGCAAGAGAATGCTTTAAGAGCAGCTAACAACATGCAGCTCTTTAATCAAAGGACACATTTGTATTCATCATATAGCTGCAAGAGCATTGCTCATTCATTCTTTTTTGTTGGTTTGAAATTCTCACGCGTTTGCCAAGTTTAGGGATATGTCAGCATTTGTAGAAGAGGAGAGCGAGCACTGGCAAGATCTGCGAGTATCAACAGGCACCACACGCTTGCAGGGCCTTCACCCTAATACAAACCATTTTGTACTAAAGCAGTGTTGACTGGTTTTATAACCATTAGGACTCTTAAAACTTCCACCTGAGATTGTAGCAATTGCAAAATTCATTACAACTAAATCGAGAGTGTTATATCTCTCGAGAATGAAGTGAAACTTTACAAAAAAAAATTATGCAGGATGACTGGGCATGCAGGGAATGGGCAGTAAGGCTTTCTGCTACATTTAATTCCAGACCTCTATTTCTCTTCTAGACACACTTGCCCTGAGGGTTGGGAAGGGAGAAACACTGTACTGCTGAAAGTCATTCAGTGTGCTGATGTGTGAATCACTGCAGTAACAAAAGGCTGCTCTCCAGGCATCCACCCTCATCCAGAGGACAGCTTTGCTGAATCTTGCTGTGTGAATAAAAACAGTGCCAAGTGCAGCAACATAGCTTCCACTGTGGACACTACTGGGACCCTAGAAAATATACACCATTTAATCTCTTCTAAATTCTCCCTGCTGATGTCAGTCAAATTTGCTCTTAAACTTGCCTTTTTTTTTTTTTTTTAAAAAACGAAGCAATATTATTTACAGAAGCAAATAAACTCGTAACAGACTTACCTGAGGCATTTCCAAGCCCAGATTCCCCAAATCCAATTCCAAACTTCTTGTTTTATTCACGGGTAGATTCCTTTCCAGCTTTACTTCAGTCTCAGTGAGTTTACACAATCCATGCAATGAAATTTTTCCTTAGGATAGCTTCAGTTCACTCTGATGGAGCTCTTCTATTTGTAGACTTCTGTGTAGAATAAACACAGCAACCCCCCAAGGAGGTAAGTGATCCTTCACCAAAAAGGTAGTGCTTAAAAAAACAGGCAAAGTGAAGCAAGGACAAAAGTTTCCCTTGAGAAACGATTATTCCTCATGCTGGAATGTATAGTAATTTTCTTCCCCCGTCATCTTTCATCAACTGAAAAGCCACAGATGCTACAGAACAGAGTTCCTGTGAAAACCTTTTTGGCGAGTTACATTTTGTTGCCTTCTTCCTCACTACCGAGACCATGAGCTCTACAGCTGTATGAAAAGAAAAGCCTGCCTAATTGGAAATAATGACTAGCATACTGCTGGGTATACAAGCGAGAAACAATCTTTATGACTAATATAATAGAGCCAATAAATTCTAAAAATGTCTCAGGCAAACGTCTCAAAATACTAATTTCAGAATAGGCAGAAATACTGTTTCTGCGATATCTCCTCCTTTTCTTCAGAGACTACTCCATCCAGCATCAGGTGAGATTGTACCAATCACTCATACAGCAACATCTAGTGGCAGTGGGATTACAGCGTGCTCACCGTCCGGCAGCAGAGGAAGGGAAGAGAGAGACTTCTCCCAAAAAACAAACTAAAAATTGTGCCAGGGTTGCCTAATAATAAATATCTTCTCTGTTAATTTCAAGTAAGGCACATGCTGAAATTGGTCCAAGTTATCTATTAGTAATTTTACCCGTTTAGTAGTTTCTGTAGACCTGCTGTTACTTTAGATGTATATCTGAAGACTTTTCCAAGCCTCATATCCTGCTTAATCCTGCATTTTTTAACAATGTAAGGGAAAACTGAACTGTAGAAAAGCAAGCACCTTTGCACAAACATCAGTAACTATATTTAAACTAAAAGTACGACAAAAGACTCATGGAATAAGTAACAGGAAGTAAAAAAGAACAAGGTTGTATCAAAAACAATAACCAAAAAAATCATCCATGGTATCAAACCTTAGTATCCAATATAACTACACTGTCTTCAAGGATGCTGCTTTCTTACTGTCCTGCTCGCCTGCAAGTTCCCTACTCTTATATAAAAAGTCTCTTTAACGAAACAGCAGCAGTAGAGGAGCGTAATTTAAAAAATGAACCATCCTACTTGTACAGTTTTTCAGCATTACCAGATAAAACGTATCTGTTTCTTTGAGCAGAATGCTTCTCTCAGCATTGCTCCTAAGTCCGACTTGGGCGCGATCTGCTCAGGCTATGTTTATTCCCTCGTTTCAAAAAACAAATAGTAAAGTAAAAGTGTTCTCCTACAGCGGAGCTACGCTCAGAACCCTCCTCCCACCAGCACATGACAGCATCCCCGTGATTATTCCTACTTTCAGATCGCATCTCAACTATTTTGTTACATTCAGCATATATACACCATCAGACTGCGGTAAAAATAGGCACTATGCAAAAAAGTCTTTACTTATCAAAACGTACTGCTTTTCAAACAGCTGCTAGAACATAAGAGAACAACAATCATGAGTCCAGTTATACCCAAGTTCTCAGTAAAACCACGCTACCACCATCAAAGTAAGCCATTCCTTGTAGGGCCCTGTGTCAAAGAAGAGACGGTTCCTTTTAAGAAAATTTTTTTTCTGCCCTAAAACTTCTGGGGAACTCTTTTTACATATTTTAAAGCGACATGTGAAGCTAAGTTTGCGTCCCAGGGCAATGTGCCTTGACAACCACCGTCCTCCTTCACCCAGCAGAGGCCACACCGCAGCAGAACTAGTCCTGTCTATGCTGTTAACGTGGCACGAACAACTGATTCATTTTCCAACCTGGCCTGATCTAGGAGAAAGGACCTGTTCTTTAAAACAAATAAATGATGTTCTCATATGCAAAGAAAGAGGCAAGAAGTATATAATCTTTAATACCAATCTACACCTGAGCAGTATCTTACTTTCTTTCCATACGGAGTGGCAGAGATTCGTGTCTTTTTCAACAGAACATCAGATTAATACTTCGACATAAACACCAGAACACGACTACCACCATCTGCATTCACGTGGGAGACTGTGAAAAGTTCCGCCACTGCATGATATAAAGAGGAAAGAGACATTTGCTGCTTCTTTACCAGTTATTGTTATGTTTTGGTTAGAAGACATACCTCAAGCCATTCCACTGTCTTCCACACACAACTAGGAAAGAGGGGTGAAATTTAATCTGTACTGACACTGACTTCAGTAACAACTGACCAACGCTTCCCAGTGTCAGGACCAGGGAGCTTCTGGATCATTGACAAATCCTCAAAACAGACGTTAAACGTTCAAAATGCTTTTACCATCTCAAAGACTGGAGAAATCTTTTAGTTGTAAACTTATAGCACCATTTAAGAATGACAACGTAGGTACTCCCAGGTTAAAGCAGCTAATCTAATTGTTCCCCTAATTATCTTTGTATCTCATTCTTGACATTGTACAATATTAATATTTAAATGTGATTTGAGTTCCATTAGGATCTATTCAAGTATTCTACAACATAAGATTTTTCTTGGTAGCTCTATGGAGGAAGGAAACCTGGTGAGGCCATAGAAAGACACTGCCACTGGTAACTGCGCAATCTAAGCATGCTTCATGCTCCCAACAAAGCAGTCCTACTTCCAACTGCTTTCTAAATTTCTCAGGATCATCAAGATCTTCATTAAAAGACTCCCAGTGTTCACACTTAACTATCAGTATTTTTTCATGACCTGGTAAATTAAGATGTATAGTAGAAGTCGACAACACATATGGAAGCAGAGATGTAAAATCTGAGCTTTCTGTGAAGAAACGTAAGTTTGTAGACCACAGCTAAGAATTTATCATTATTGGCACTCTCAGCTCAAGGCTGAGTTAAAACAGAACAGAATCATAGCATGGTTTGGGTTGAAAGGGATCCTAAACCTTCCAACTTGCCTGCCATGGGCAGGGACACCTTCACTGGATCAGGTTGCTCAAAGCCTTTACTCGTAACGTACAGTTGTTACGTTATCCATCAGAAATACGGATTTGAATGAACGGAAAGATCTGTGACAGAGCTCAAGAATAGCAGCGTAAGAATTACTGAAGCTATATATATAGTGAGAATTTCTATTTTAGGACAATTTTCATTGATGCCTTACATCAGCCCTTCCCAAATGCAGAGATACGGAGGTGAAATCCTGTAGTTGCTTCACAGCAACTGAACCGCAGGTGGAATACACCGCCCGAGGCTCCGGGCAGGGTGCCACCGCTTCTTTTGGCAGCAGCCTGTAGTTAAATCAGATTGAGGTGATTACGGAACCAGTCCCCGAGTTGGTTCTGTGTCTGCAGATTCCTGAGTCACATCAGCGCAAAGCTGGCCTGCTGCTCCTGGGAGAAGGCTTGCTCATTCGCTTGGGCGCGAGGAAGGGCAAGACATCTCAAGAACTGCTATGTTGTTCTAACATTTATTTAACAATCCGGGGTACTCATGGAAGTATGCATATTTACATTGGTTAAAATATTCATTAGTCACAAATAAATAACCAAAACCTCTTCTATAGTGTTAATAATTCATCAATCTAATGGCAAATCCTAATGAGAGTCCTCTGCGTTTATATTTACTTTTTGAAAACGCTCATTTAAAATAGTTTAATAGTGGTCCCAAGACACCCAGTAAGACTGAACTTCATAACAGCAGGCTTACTGCGTGGCATTACTGATGCAGCAGCACACTTAAACCATCAGACAGCAAGACCTACACTCAACACAGGCAGCATTAGGGATGGCAGTTACCACGCACATGCCGCTTCCCCAGACTAGTAAAACACCCTTCTGCAACAATACATTCTCCCTAAAAAAGTCCCTCTAAGAGAAAAACCTAAACCGCCAGCTTTCAGCTTGACAACTCTGGAAGTCTTCCTCAGTCCCCTGCATGAATCATTTGTACTCTCGCTATAACTCAAGTTGCTATTTCTGTCTCAATTTAGATGTGAAAAGCACACAGAGCCTCACCACACCGTTTTGTTGATGGCACAGTGCTTATTAGCACAGCAGATAAATGCCCATTACAAATCCATCACACGAACAATTACACTTCTCATGATGGCGACTGTGCCTCATACCGCACACTTCGTGAAAGCGACATTTTTGATGCAGATACGAAAAACAGCGCGTTGCAAGAGCCTGTCAGTACTAAACCTACAAACCCAGGCAAAAACATTCAAAATGCTGAATTTCAGAGAATTTCAGTGCAAAAACTATGCCACGTATTTTGAAAGAACCATTATGTGCTATGCAGCGTTTGCTGTATCTGGACGTTTTATGAAGTACTACAGTCAGAGATACAAGAAGGCCTCCTATGCTTCTCTTAAAACTTTTTTCCTTCCATAGTTTGTGCCAATTTGTTTCCTATTACAGAACATACTCTGCGCAGTGTGGTCTTCAAACACAGAATGTACTTTTCTTAGTTTTGCTTCCGAGTGTAATGTTCTCGGTTTGTTTGGTTTGTTTTTTTTGTTTTTGTGGGGTTTTTTTAACTTCTTTCTATGTGATTCTTCAGTTATTAGCCAGACTTAAAAATTATTTTACTGTTCTTCCCCATGACAAAGTTTTCTTTTGTGGGCCTTTTTTTTTTTTAGGTAGCAGGTGAGCAAAGACACTCTTGTAAGAGGTCTTCCTCTGCTTCCACACACTGCAGCCTCATTCACTTGCTCATCCACAGAAGCCAAGTCTCTCTACCTTCTCAGTGATATATTTGTATTAAAACGCCACCATAAGCATCTAAGACATTATGCCCTTTGCTTTCCCTATCCTAGAGAGCAAACAGCTGCTGAAGACACTCAGATCCTAAGTTTGATGGAGCATTGGTGTTTGAAAGAACTGAAGCTATCTAGATCCTAAGTTTGATGGAGCACTGGCATTTGAAAGAACTAAAGATACAAAGACGGTTTCACTTCTTTGAAGCCTCTTCCCTTCAGGAAAGGGAAACTGCTACTTCACTGTCTTGGTTCCTTTTCCTCTGATGACCTTCCCTTCCCCC